TTGTCTACAAAATGGTTTATTTACTTTTGAGTTCTGACTTTTTCAAAAATTTCTGCAAATAAAACAAAATCATAGAAAAACGTCACGGAATTACGTACGCAGGTAGAGTTAGCTGGCCAGGCCGTTTTCTGGAATATATCAATGGATGATGAAGCACCAACTACAATTGTGAGACAGCCAGTCTTTAATTCATTTTTGAAGAGATCTTTAGCTTTCTCTTCGTTCTGTACATATGCTGTTGTGTCGATATGTTTTTGATGAGACCACGAACAACACCACTGCCGATGTTTCCAGTAGCTCCAACTACGAGTACGCATTCTTCGCTCACTGATATCCTCACGATGGAAATGACAAGACTAGGCTATTGCTTGCTTTTTTTTTATTAACCAACGAATATATTGTACGAGAGAAAAATAAACAAAAACCATCACGTGTATAGCGAATAGAATCGGCCAGTATGTCCGTCCGGCCGTTTACACGATAACTCCAGAAATAATCCCCTCACAGCTCTCAAATTTTTTACACAGCATTATCACATCAATATCTCGGTCGAGTTCGAAGATGAGCGCAATTTGTCCAGAACTTTCTGATTTTTGACAGGCAACATCCTGATTCTTATTTTGTTTTACCATGTATTTGGCTTGAATTTCAATGGTTTTGGTGGAAAAACCAGTTTTATCATGAAAGACGCCGGTGTGCGCATGTCAGGATGTAGCGGTCCAAGTTGGTTAATATCCCATTTTGTAGCCCGTGAAAAGCTCTACAAACTGGTGCTGTTTTACAAGGACTTTTTCGTCGGCGAAGCAGTGAAAATGAGCCCACAAGAGACACAGGGTGTCGAAAACGGTCATTTTTACAGATTGTGTGCTGAATATCTCGCGTTTGAAAGGAGATTTGGACCAAACTAAGTTTATCTACCCAATCAGTTAGTCTACTTTTTAGCGCTCCAGTGAATTTAATTATTGGCCTGACTTAGTTGCGTCATTTGGTGGTGAAAATAAGTCCTATGATCAGCTCATGTTTGATTCGGATTGTATTGGAATAATGTTTAACATGGGCTATAGAGTATAATGTATCACATGACAAAACCTGATCACTTTATGGGTAAATTATATATACGGAAAGAAGAAAAAAACCAATCACGATGCTTCTCAAAGAATATGATATGACAGGAAAACTAGTATCAACCGATACTACACGATTCTTAAATTGGAGTGCAGATTCAATTCCTGATTATGAATTTGATTATCCAATGGATATTTCAACGTGTTATAAATCATAAATACACCATTGTGTTTCAACTTAATTATTATTGCGAAACAACTTTCACGAAGACAACGCGTCTATGGTAGTTTTTAAGATGTGCTTTCTGATAATCGTATAATAAAACTTGGCAGTGTATGTTTTTAGTGAACCGTAAAACAAACAAATAATTCAGATAAAAGTAGAGAAAAAAATGCATTTTTCTTTCCCAAGGCTTGGATCAGAATGTAAAGGGCCTTGGCTTTCTTCTCACTCATTATAACTGCTGATATCGATATTGTTTCGTAATTTGTATTAAAGAATAAATAGGCGTATATGAATGTATCTTTTCGTCGACGCATTATCGAGAAAGTTATATTTATTTTAAAAATCAGAAAAATTTCTGCATAAAAAATAGTGTAAAATGAGCCAGAAATAATAACTAACTGCGTTTCTTTTCGACATACACAGTGAACAAAATGTTATTATCAAACATTGTTCTCATACTTCATTTAATTTGTTCTATTAAAGGTAATTAGATCAATTTCTATCATTTTACACTTTAAAATTGTTTTCTTAAAGGTTTCTGTTCGAATCGATTAAAACGAAATTATAATTATGAAGCATGCATTTATCCACATATTTTAAATATAAGTTCACCATGTGTCACTAAAAAGTTACTAATTACTAATACTAAGTTACTAATAAAAAGCTACTAATTTTGCACTTTGTCAATAAAAAGGGTAAAATTAGCTCCAAGGCAGACTCCTCCGGGACAGCCCCAAATCCCATCCTATTTGTCCCATCCCGTAGGACACACGGAGCCAGGACAAAATGATTTACGGACTTGAACTCATGGGTGTGGGGCAAGAAAAAGATTTCACGGGATCGGGCTTATGGGTTCGGAACAAGTTGCAGAAAATGTTGTCCTGTAAATTTTGTCTTTTGATTGTAATTATGCTGCAACTTCAAATGTTTGATTCTTGCAGTAATCTCAAGTCAAAACCGTAATTTTATAATAACTAATAAAAATTATCCTGAAGAGGCAAAAATGGTCTGGATTTAAACTTTTTTTCGAGAAGATGTTTTGAATCTAAAACTAAATTTACAGTTCCTTTCTTTCGATTCTGCGGTGGTGAGCTGATGTAAAACATTTTTTTATACAGTAACTTTTAAGTTTGAAATCAAATAAATTAGACTTAAATTTTGTCATGCGGAGTTTTTGCAAAAAGAAGTTTGAGGCTCTAAGCGTCTCTTGTAACAATTAGGACTTATCACCACAGAGAAAACTTTTCAAAAAATTACGGCACAAACAAGCTTATAAATCTTTTTCACGGGACAAACGGGCTCGGTACAACATTATTTGCTCGCAGGTTCGGGGTTACGGGCTCAGGATAGCAGAAACGTTTGTTCCGCAGGACTCTACTCCAAGCCCAAATCATTTACAATGTACTCATGAGCATATTCAAAAGTGTCCCTGCAAAACTCGTTATTGAATAGGTCAAAAGTGTTAACGACATTTTGTTTTTCCTCTTCAACAATAAATTAAATATGTTCTATGAAGAATTGTCATGGATATGATTTACCTTGTTTTAGTTGGTGTTTTCAGGTATTATGTTATCAACATTTTTCTTTTACTAAATATCATTTTCATCGATAAATCAAGTTTCGAACGCATTGCCAGTACCTTAAACTGACCTATTGTTGTGCTTTCCAATAATAAAACACATATCTACGTAGTATTATATTCTTAAACCGTTATATCGCTTTTCTCAAAACCGAGTTTTTTGTAAAATATCAGTCTCTGAACAAATTTTCTTCACTATAGTTTAGTCTATTAAACTGCGGTTTTTTTATTTGATAGATAGATATATCCTTCTTCAGATGACGAGAAGGAATTTTTTATTTGACTCTCAGTCTGTGAGCAATCAGGTATTTTATGAAAAATCCTATATAGGGTTTTCAGAACTTCAAAGTTTTGTAGATCCCACCAAAGAAAAAAATCAAAATTAAAAAAACCCCTTCCCTCATCTGAAGCACCAAGGAGTTCCCTTTGAAATGAGACCAGCCCGAGCGCTCCATCTCAAAGTATATTGAAAAAATCCTTGTACGCGTGGGACCCCCATTTTGCCACTTGGTAGCTGTATATCTCTCGAACCGAAAGAGCTCGAGCCATGAAAACTTTTTACACTTGTATCTTTAAGGGTCAAGCATCTGTAGAAAGTTTCATGAAGGTTTCATGCACCATGTTGAAAATCGATTTTGGAGGGGGGGTGAAGCCTTAAGAAATATTTTCCATGAATCTAGGTAATGCTGAAACAAAAGTAACAACTCTATCATCAGTGGCTGTAAATTACATATTTGGTGCTGGTACTGCTGGAGCAACACTCACTGACGATGCAGCGAGAATTGCCACACCCATCGGTTCGGCTGCTATACGTACTTTGTGTCATGGTTTACTTGCAACTGGTGCAATTTTATAAGTAGACATGTGTGCTTGATCAGCTGTTGCGAATGAAATACAAATGCACAATTATTTAAATCGTTTATGCGACGACGATCTCATTTATGTCAGTGGATCAATAATACTAGAGATCATTGAAAAAAATAACCAGACTCGGGAGAATTTCTTGGAACAATAATGAAACAGTTATGTACCTTGTAACATACCGCTTTTTCATTTAAATTTGAAAACGAAATAGATAATGCCGTTTTAAAGGACAGAAACGAATAAACCCATTTTTCAATCCGAATAATTCTTCAATAAAAATCATCGGATTATGCAAAATCACGTTTTTTTTGAGCTAATTATATTTAAATTTTCGAAACCTGTTATTTGGAATCAGAACGCATCTAACTATCTATTGGTAAAACAGGTTCGTCTCCGATCAAGTCTTTTAGCGAAAAGAGTTTTTTCCCAAACGAGGCGATTTATCCTAGAGAAATGTTCTGTGTGATGAGTTTTGGGAAATTTTCCGAAGCTTTGAATTTGTTGAAAATTTCGTAGAATGTGCATCGACATAACATGAATCTGTAGTGATAGCAGTTTTATGCAATTTTTCTCCTAGACCGAGATCTAACTTTTCTGGCAAACCGTCAACCTCTATTGTACATTTTTCTCGGTCAAAAACATTTTTATTCAACAAATAATGTGATATTTGGAATCAGCGCATAAAACTGCATCGAATGATGTATAACCTGCTCATTTTCTGAATAAAAGGTTTTTCAACAAAAATTTAGGATCCCCCTAGGGGGACCCAGAAATACGAATAAACATCTTGCGGATATTGGAGACGAACTATACAAGAAGGGGAACGTGGACGAACGCACAAGATTCAAGATAGACGTTGATCATGCCCTAGCGCTGAAAATTCACGTAAACATGAGTCGAACTGCTCTGGATTTTATTAAAACGTTTCAGAAAGAATATATTCACATTCCTAATAGAAACATCATACGAGAACATTCGCAAAAACTAGTTCCCGGACTTACACAGTGTCGAGAAAATCGGGGAATAATGGTGGCAAGCTTAAAGGACACAGTCGGACTAACAATCTCTCGAATAATACAAAGGCTCACTGAAATGAATATTATTTTACCATCTAAATTAACTTATAAGCACAAAACTGGGCACGATGGGGCAGGGAGTCAGTCGGTTTATCGATCTTTAGATAATCCTATGAATGATCCTTATATATTTGCAAAGATGTTTGTACCTCTCTCGTTGACAAACACACTGACGAAAGAAATTTTGTGGAAGAACGAAACTCCCAATAGCGCGTTTTACACGAGACCATTAGCTCTTATTGCGGAGAAGGAGAGTGTGGACTTGATTCGATTTATCAATGAAACTTTCGAAGTTCAAGAACAAGATTTACGGGAGAATAAAATTGAATTTGTACATGGTGATAAAAAATATGAAATTCCTGTTACAATAGAGGACAGTATGAAAGACCTCAAAGTACGAACGATGGAATCTGGACTTGGCGGTGCTTATTGCCTCATGTGTGAAACGCATCATAGCGAGTGGAAAAATAAGAAGAAAATAGAGGAAGACAATTACTTTGCCATTACTCGCTTTGCGGAAAAGACTCGTAATTTATTCGAAGAATTGGTCGATGAAAGAGGGCAAATTATCAATTAGGTCGCAGGTTCTTTTCATTCGAATTAAGGGAGAAAATCAAGGAATGTGTGCCCGAAAAACATCAGGAAAAAAGAATCAGGTCATCAGGAAAAGTTTATCCGATTTTTCACAGAAAGTCGTCTGAAAAGAACTAGTGACACCTGGGACCACTTTCATATACAGCGATACCATACGATACATCTACCGTCTAACTGCACAGAGGAAAACTTTCTGTCGTTTTTCCAACTTAATGTACAAGAGTATTTTGCTAAAAACATACTTACAAGGAAGCGTTCCCGACTGTCAAATCACTTTCGAGCCAAAATTTAGTAGGTCATAGATAGTCTGTTTTTCTGAAAAAACATTTTTCCATAGCGAAAACTTTTTTTTGATCTGTCCAGATAAAAGAGCACGGCGAGTTGACTATAAGAAACTATTTTTCCAATTTTTCAATCATTATTTAGGCAAAGAGAATTGTAATTCTTCGATTCACCAGCGGTTTCCACTAAAGTAAACACAATAGTTCTAACTGATCGCTCAGAAAAATAGTGTTTTATAGCCAATTCGCGGTGCTCTTCTATCCGGACAGATCAGAAAAAGTTCTTCGCTATGGAAAACTGGTTTTTTAGAAAAACAGTTTTTGGAGGCCTAGCTGCTAGTCTCATGTTGATATTCGGAATCAGTGTGGTCGACCACCTATAGTCCACTAAGTTTCGGCTTGAAAGCGATCTGATAGTTGAGACGTTTCCTCGTTACAATTGGAATAAATAATTAACCGTCACAGAAACTATATATATATATATATATACATGCGACTCTGTATTTAGCATATACAATTGAAAAAAAATATAACAGGTTTTAAGCGACATATTTTCACGTTAAAAGTCAAATTGATAATATACTGGTACTACAGAAAGAAGTTTTTTAAAAGATGAAATAAACTATGTCAAGAGGTAGATCATGGTCTATAATCTGGGCTTACAGGGTTATCAGATGGAAATCAGAGACAGTCCACGTACTCTCTGGGGAAGCCGCCCCTCTGCCACACCATGACAGATAGCGATCTCGTTCTTGTGTGTGTTTGGAGAGGACACTCTAGACAATCATTTCCGTGTTTTAAACAGAAAGATTACTGTGGGACGTCAATCCTGGCAACTCTGTCCCTCACAGACCGATCGGGTATGCCAGCTGGAAATCCGATATTTTTAGATTCCCATATATGGAAACACGCATTAAGGTCTTTGTACAGACTGGTGAAAACCGCAAGTCTCTATTTCTTTTCGTTCTCAGGCTATTCGAAAAATGACCTCCGGCACTATAGTTTGAAAAGAATAGCAGATTTTTTACAGCTGTTAATTTTTATACTAAGACGCCATGTTTGATGTCTGGTGGAGATATATCGAACTTTTCTCTCACTTCATCCTGTTCTGCAAGCAACAGGATCTTTGTTGCGGAACATTTGTATTATTTCAGTGATTCTATTTACTTTTTTCCCGATAATTGAAACAATACAGATCGTTGCCGATCGTGCATACTACATGTGATAGAATGAATATTAAATTTACAATCAGTACTGACAACAAAAACACTTTTCTAATAGAGAGAAACGATGCGCTTTCTGTCAGGTTTCTTCATCACCATCCATCTCATCAACTGTCAACCACAATCTGAAATTCAGTTTCAACAGTATGGCACCTCTTTCGTTCCGGCTGATTCTGCCGAAATAATTGCCACATTTTACATAAGTTCAGAAATCGAGTGTGCTCGATCATGTAATCAACAATCTCTATGTCGTACGTTCAACTTTGATATGCAATCCGGTCAGTGTCAACTATTCGAAGGCGAGCTAACAACCGGTCAGATTAACAATTACGCATCGTCTACATCAAGGATTGGCGCTGTGCAGTACACACCGATGTTGTTTGTAGCTTATAACCAATTGTGTCAGTACTGTCGATTCAGCCGATATCTGGTGTGTGTTAACATGTCGTGTCAGTGCCCATTGAACACTTTTTGGGATCAGCAAATATGTCGTAATCAAGTCTATAATGGCTCATATTGCGAGGCGGATAATTGGTGTAGAACCAGTCGAAATTATTCTTGCCAAGGAAATGAGTGTACACAATGTATGTATTTTCCGTACTCGTTCTCTTCCTCGCTCCTTTCTGATCAGTATTTTAATTTCAAGCTGAACGACGCCATACTGCCATTTTCTATAAAGTAACAAGGTCTTTTTCTAGCCACAAACCAAACACCAAGGATTTTGCACTTCTTCCGATTTACTATCACTTTCTAAAACATAAAACTTTCTTTGTACTACAAAGTTTCTCTTCGGACTGAGATGCCTAACATGATATTACGACAAGAAAAAGAATTTAATCATTTTATGAAAAGTCCTGAAGTCAAAATATAAAACATTTTTAATGAGAATAGGGTCTTCGTTGATATACGAAGTCGGATAACTTATATTTATCTTATAACTTATATAACTTATGTTTTTTCTTCTTTTTTACGAAGACAAAGTGTATATTATAAGAAAAAACGATAAATATAAACAAAATATAAAAGATGATCGAAGGTTACTCCAGAAGTTTTCTCTTTATATTCATGTGGGTTACTAGTGGAAACTGTCAACTTGACGAAATTCGGCTTATTGATAAAAAAAACTGGTTCTTCACGACAGGCACGATAAGAGCTTTGTTGGATAGCTTCTAGCAGAAAATACGTTTTTCTCTAATTCTTTTATCTCTGCCTTTAATCTTTGATCAAAGATCTTTTAAGTCAGTGTGCTGTTTCCTATTTGAAAAAAAGAAGAGTAATGCACACACGAGAGTTTCTCCTGCATTTTTAGTTCTCGCAAATATGTCCTTATCTGCCTATTACGCTTTCGATTCACCCAGTCCACTCATTGATGCTGGACCGAATATGATGAATGCAACAGTTGTTGGCAATTTTTCGTCGACGAACGGTCGGCGAAATCAAGCAATATTATTCAACACGACGAATTCGCATGTTTACGCAGCAGGATTTACTTTATTCAGCACAACAAATCAACCATTTTCTATTGCAATGTGGATTAAACCGATAATGTTAAATGGTACGTTGCTTCAAGTAACGCAATCCGGAACAGGTATGGACAGCGTGATCTCACAATAGTTTGACTTGCTTACATCATTCTGATTTTCTATCTAGTTAATAGTGGCTGGTGCACCCCATTCGTCGGATTTTCTCTCAATGGTAGTATTGTTGTACAAACATACGACCTGCAGAATACGCTCCCATCCATCATTGGTCCTATTATCATGCCAGATACATGGTTATATATTGTCGAGACATTTAGTCAAGAAAATGGACTCAGTTTGTATTTAAATGGCTCGTTGTACCAAACGAGATCGGTATCATCGTATTACGGAAGTAGTACAGGAACGAATTATGTTATTATAGGTAGTAATTTAGGAGGAAACTGTTATTCCGGTGATATCAGTATGGGACAATATCAAGGAGCCATTGACGAACTCAGAATTTACTCAAGAGAACTGTCAGCAACCGATGTTGCTATACTCGCAAACTGGTAAAATACTTTCAATGTGCTAAATAAATTTTCTTCGTCTAAGCTTTATTTATTTGATATATACCAATATTATTGTTGTAATATAATTCAAAGTTAGTAACAATCATATGCAAACAGCAATTATTGAGTTTGTTTCAATAAACTTTCAACTATAGTCTGCAACTATCATCTACTGTAGTTCACAATAAAAAACATGCAACTACATATACATGCACTCGCTTTTTGTTCTCATTTTTTATGAAAGGCTAAGACCCCGCTCTAGCATGAAACCAGGAAACCCCTTTTATCTCGTGTACGAGATTATTAAGTTTCAAAGTAGATTATTATGATTGTGACAAGAAGAGCGAGGATGATATTGCTTCTTCATTCAACTCCAGCTGAAATAAGCGATGCATTTAAATTACGGCTTACTGCCGATAAATTTATACATCGTTCAAAGTATGAATTACATTATAATCAGGCTTTATCTACAAAATATCGTGATATAGTAAGCTATCGGGTGGCGCAGAATAAATTAGACTGTTTGTATTTTTAATATTTCTCCTCCTCCTTACAGTTGATTGAGCTAGGTTTTTTAACAAAAGATTCCTCGTTGAATTCTGTACAAAAAATGTATTGAGTGTTTTATTGCAAAATCTGCAGTTGCAAAATGCCATGAGAAATTGTGAGAAGTACCAAAATGTAGAAAAAATAAACGTATTTTCTTCTAGAGAGCAAATTTTTTCGAATGGTTTCACAAGCATTAAAACACGGTTTTATATTTTTGCATAGTTTTAAATACGCTCTTTCTCGTCATGTAAAGCGAAAATCGTTTCAATCTAAATATCCAACGCAAAGATTAACTTATCAGCAATCAAATGAAAATAGCAAAAGTTGTTACGCAGTGGAACAAAACAAATTTTTTTTTTCCAAATATAAGACATCCGATCCTAACGACTAATTATTTGTTTTCAAAATTAAAAATATCAACCTGAATGGATCAAGTTTAACTAAGCTTTATTTGTTTTATTTGAAGGCTCAAATTATTGGTGAAAGATCGTCAGTTTTTGAAAAATTGGCAAAAAATAATGAAATTCCTGCGCCCTCGCTTCTAACTGAAAATTATTTAAATTATAGATGGAAAATTAGAGCTTTTCGAGGCGTACACGGTGGCTACTTCAGTTGTCCTCTCTCACAAACTTTTAGTAGATAATACTAAAAAAACTGTAACTACGTTTATTTTTTATACATAGTGGTACTTCTCACAATTTCTCATGGCATTTTGCAACTGCAGATTTTGCAATAAAACACTCAATACATTTTTTGTACAGAATTCAACGAGGAATCTTTTGTTAAAAAGCCTAGCTCAATCAGCTGTAAGAAAGAGGAGAAATATTAAAAATACAAACAGTCTAATTTATTCTGCGCCACCCGATATTTAGTGAATGAAACATGCATTATTATTATTATTATTATTATTTGTAAGCCTGATAAAGGAAGAGGGATTGTTCTCCTAGCTAAGCCGAAACTGTTAAAAAATGAATGATATTTTAAATGATACAACCTTCAACATCCACTTTCGATACTCTTTTTCTGTTTTTCGGGTGTACAATATACCGTGAAACATCAATGTGTTATACAGGAGGCATCGCGCAAATTTTTCTGCTCTAAAAGCTGATTTATACAAAAGCTCATTGTTAACAACAGATTTGTGTGTGTGTGGAAAGACAGACAGTTTTTACATGATCTACTGGAGTGTATTATTCCACAATCAAAGAAAAATTCTTATAAAGGAAGTCTCGATAATAAAAAATGCCGCTTAGTCTTGACCTTCTTTTACTAAATGTGCCTCTTTCAAAAGAACATTTTTCATGTACAGTTGCTAGTAACTGTTACGTGAAAAACAACAAGGCGCAAAGGTTTTTCTTTTGAGTTCCACTTGAGAAAAAAATGAATTCTCCAAAAGTCTACTTTCTCGTCTGTCGAAGAGTTAATAGTCAGATTGTCAGATAACGATAAATCTCATCGGATCTTAGTATTTCCCCCACCATTGAAATTATAGAGAGAACGGTTCCGATTTGGACGAGATTCAGCACATAATTAGATCAACAGTCCAATATTATATAGGTAACTTACTTGCTGCGGTATGGCACAATTATTAATATTATTACACCACTTACTAAAGTGAGCATTAAAGTCACCCTACATCAGAATTGTTATAAATAATTCTAATTGATTTATTTTTCTCCGTAAGTTATTCTCTTTTTCATTTTTTGGTACCGGATGAAAGAATACTATGTATGTTCCACAATATCGCAGAGTGTGCGTAGGGTGTCTCTGTTATTCTTCCTTCGAGAAAAGTTTCACAAACACCTGGTTCTACTAGATTTTCTCAGTTCAAAGTTAGGTTTATGTCACAAATACACACATGCGTCAGATTTCATCAACAGACAGTTTTTTCCAGAAAAAAATTGACTTTTTCTTGATTTTTTAATTCCATGTTGAGTTAAAAAGATTGGAAACTCATCCAAGTACATGTATATATGTTACAATTATTGTCGGTAAAAAAAAGAATGGACTCGGATATTTTTTGAATAACGTTTGACAGAAAAGTGGTAGATGCTTGCGGTCTTCACTAATCGAAAGCTAGGACCTGAATCCAGCTTTTCACAATGAAAGTCATTTTCAAGATCTTCTTCTGAAGCAGATTTTTCAGAAGATCTTTGGAAAACCAGGTCATTGCTCAAAAACTTGAAATACAAATGGTTTGATTTTTTTCATAGATAGATAGGCCAAAGTGTCCTCTTCAAAATGAGAGTCAAGCGAGACTCTCATCTTCGATCGCTTAGGCCTGGCATTGAATTTCCTGAGAGTCTCAAAACTGGTCTTTTCTCATACGTGAGAGCCTCACAAATGACTCTAGACAGGGGTTATCGACCACGCTGAGTCTCGTGGCAGTCTCTGTTTAATGATTTAAAAACGTTTTTACATATGAACTATCGGAACCTGTACTCAACCTAAGCTGTTCTAACTACTGTACTACCGTATAACTACTTCACTTTATTTCAAA